AGGCTAAAGAGTTGGTGCCTGGAGGCAGGAAGCCAGAATTATCAACCTTTCTTCTCTCTATTTGTAATTAGGAACTCCCACAATGCCATTGCAGCACATATAGGACCATGTCTATGTTTATCTAGAGGAGACAGGGAATGCTGGATATATTGTTTTGGCCATAGCTAAAACAATACCAACCAGCGTGTGCTGTTCTTAATAAGCCTTCTCATGAGTGATGGGGAAAGCAGAATGCAGAAGGTTTTCAGATCCATTGGGATAGTTGGTCCTATAAAAATCCTATATGTGTCAAGTCTAAGCTCTGCATGATGAGCCACCCAATACTTTTTCTTTTTAAGAACACAAGGTACCACCTGTTTTTACCACCCAAGTAGGTTCATCTATATCAGGCATAGGCAAACTTGGCCCTCCAGATGTTTCGGGACTACAATTCCCATGATCCCTAGCTAACAGGACCAGTGGTCAGGGATGATGGGAACTGTAGTCCCAAAACATCTGGTGGGCCAAGTTTGCCTATGCCTGATCTATATCATTGCTGAGGATGGGATCTTACCAATCCTGGTACTTTCTAACAGGGAATAATGTCCCTGAATGCACCAAAATAGTGTCATTATTATATGGGAGCGTTTACAGTCCAATTCTAGTAGGAGCAGGATTTCACCCATATCGCTTTGTTTAAATGAAGACAGCGTCCCAGATAACGCTCATATTTCATACTGTATACAAGCTCCGCGGCTTGCCAGAGGCTAATTGGGGAATGAGAAATACAAAGTATGGAAATGAAATCCATGCTACGGGTCATTTTTCAGACTTTTAGAGTTCAGATTAGAACACATGAATGCTGCAGAGAGAATGGTTTAAGTAATGATCTTCTGATGAGATGCCCTTCCATTTCATTAGAAAAGAAATTGCAGTTTGGAGCAGGTGCGAGGAAACCAACATCATGAAGATGGAGACCACCCCCCCCCTCCCTCTTCCTGCAGGAAAATGTGTTTGTAAAAGCTTATATGTGAACTGAGCAGACCCGTCCATGTACCATAGTCCTACCAAGAGGCAGTCAGGAGGGACAACAATGATGCCACATCTCTCCAGAGTTGATCTGCCATAGGGAGCTGATCTGAAGCACCCAATTGATTGGATACTCACCATCACAAGATGCTGTATGACAGTGGACGGGATTCCGTTAACAAAACCCACCAGTGGAATCCTGTGCAAGGACTCCCACTAGTGCAATGGGGTTTTCCCTCTCCCTAACACGCCCCCCCCAGCCAAATTGACTACTCCCGGGTGGGGTTAGCACTGCAGGCATTGAGCATCAATGATATGGCTCCATCCTTGTGGAGGGAGGAGTGTTAATGTACAGTATATAGAATTGTACATATGGTTGATTTGAATATGTTATTATTGATTATGTATACCCAATGTATCAGCCGCCCGGGGGTTTTCACTGCTTGTGTTTTGGTTGTTGGTAAAAAGAAATAAAAAATACTTTAAAAAAAATCAATGATATGCATCAATGACTACTTCCATATGTTGAGCAAACATGCACCGTTGCAATTTGGCATTCAGTCACATGAGTCCCCTCACCTGCGGTCTGAAGTAATACAAACCAAGGCCAGCTGCATCAGATACAGAGGTATCTTGGTTCTCAAACTTAATCCGTTCTGGAAGTCCGTCCCAAAACCAAAGCATTCCAAAACCAAGGCGCGCTTTCCCATAGAAAGTAATGCAAAATGAATTAATCCGTTCCAGACTTTTGAAAACAACCCCTAAAACAGCAATTTAACATAAATTTTACTATCTAAAGAGACCATTGATCCATAAATGGAAAGCAATGATCAATGTACATTACTATGAAATAATAAGACAGTACGTAATTAAGTAATTAAGTAATTAAAATAAATAATTAAGACAGTATTGTAGATGATAAAAATTAAAATTAATTTTTTTCCTTACCTGCACTGATGACAGTCATTGTTTGGCTTTTACCCATTTCCGCAGTCACACAGTCAATCAATCAATCAATCAATCATTAGCCGAACTGGGTTCCACACAGTCACAAAAACAAATTAATCGAAAAAGCCTCGAAAACAAAAACACAAAATAAATAGTAAAAACAAAAGCGCCAAACTTAATCAGTTCCGGAAGTCCATTTGACTTTTGAAATGTTCAAAAACCAAGGCACAGCTTCTGATTGGTGCAGGTGCAAGAGCCGACAGCTGCATCAGATGTTCGGCTTCCGAAAAATGTTCAGAAACCAGAACACTTATCTCCGGGTTTTCAGAGTTTGAGAACCAAAGTGTTTGAGAACCAAGGCATTTGAGAACCAAGGCACCACTGTATGTGCATTGTCCCTTAGTCATCCCATGTAAAACTTTAGAAAGACAAGCCTTCAGAACTGGAGCAAACATTAACGAAAGGCAATGAGTTACACATTAAGGAGTAAAAAAACAAAATTGCTGTGTGTTTATTTACAGCATGCCACCCAAAAATTCTTTGGATAGCTTATGTACAATAAAAGAAACAACGCCATACAAAATTAAAACTATGATATCTAAATACAGAATAAAAGCAGCAGCAGACAATAAAAAAATATCACAAATCTTAAAACTCCAGAAATACCAACTCTATAAATCAGAAAAAGAGTGTTAGGCAAAGATGCCTGGGGAAAGATGTAACCACTGAAAAGACAAGGGCATTCCATAACCATATTGGCAGACATCCCATGTCCATGTTGCCACCACTGAAAAGGTCATATCCACTGTAGCCACCTGTAAGAGCATCCAGAGAAAGGTCTTGAAAGATCTAAATGTTTGGTTAGGTAAATGTGGGAGAGGTGGCCCTATAGGTAAGAGGTGTCCCTTGCCCCCAAGCTATTTAGGACTTGAAAGCTTAAGACCAGCACTTTGAATGTGACCAAGGAACAGAGTAGAAGCCAGTGCAGATGTGAAATAAATTCATATTATCCAGCCCCTGCTAACAGTGTTGCTGCCCTGTTTTGAACCAACTGAAGTTTCCAGATTGTTTTCAAAGCCAGATCCAATGCTATGTTAAGACTTACTAAGGAAAGAATGTCTATTAACCTCCAATTGTCCCATTTCTGGAGTCTTACATGGCTCACCTTTCCATTACTTGAAATGAAGCGGAGCGTTTTTCTTGTGTTCTTAAAACAAGAATTAAATGGCTGTTTTATGGAGGCCAGCACTTCTTTGCTTTCCTCTCTTTTCCCAGACTATTGTGTAATTAAAGATGACAAACATGCACTTCAAAGCCCTGCAGTCCAAACTATCCACCCTTCCACCATTCACAGGTCATGACAAATTCTAATCTTTGCACATGGCACTGAGATTCAGGGTGGGGAGGGTGTGTGTGTGTGTGTGTGTGTGTGTGTGTGTGTGTGTGACTGAAGAGATGAAGAGTGGTTGTATAATATGCAAGCCCCCAAAACTCCATCTAAGGATTTGCAGATAATTGCTGCTAAAACAAACTGAACAGGAGGACAACAGTGAATACTAGTGATATGCAATTATCATCACTGAGCATCATTGTTAAGGAACTATAGAGAATGAATGGGGCAGTTCACAAGCCTCTCTGAGCTGTTGTGCCATATGTTAGCTGACAGATCACAAAGGAAGCTTTCCTATGACTCACCTTCACAAGGGTACATGTGTCGTCCAGCAAACTAAGAATATGTGCTTCAGAATGGCCATAATTATTTTGTAAATCATTGGGGATTTACTCGCGTTTTCCCAAAGGGGTTCATAGAAACCTAGTGTTCTTGTACAGGCTCAAATACCTTGAACCCTCTGCTCTCTCTTGCTCTAGTGACATCCACATCATACATTGAATTGGTTGCCTTCTTGCTTCAATATATATCACAGGGGTGGTGCATGCCCTCCAACATTTCTCTGATGAAAACAGGGATGTCCCATTCCATAATGATCTATTTATACCCCACACATCTTATTGGGTTGCCCCAGCACTCTGGGCAGCTTCCAACATATATAAAACATTAACACTTAAAAAAAAAGTTCCCAGGATTGCCTTCAAATAGCTCCGGGGTTGGATAACTCCATACGCTCCAGCATGTCTCCAATGAAAATAGGGACATCCTAAGGAAAAGCAGGACATTCCAGGATCAAATCAGAAACCGGGATGGCTTCTCTAAATCAGGGATGTCCCTGGAAAATAGGGACAGTTCGAGGGTCTGGGGTGAGGAACCTCAGACCCAGGGGTCCAGTGTGCCCCCCTAGGCTTCCTACTTGGTCCTCAGGACCCCCCCCTCAGGCTGCATCCCCTCCCAGAGGCCACGCCATCCTTGAATTGTTTTGCATGACAGGAATGTGTTCTAGAACTGTAACAGTGCCTCCACACCCTCCAACATAACTCTGATGGAAATCAGGACGGGTGTCTTTTAGTGCAACGCTGCCCCGCAAGTCAGCTGACTCTAGTGAGAGGGCCATGCCAAAAGACTCTCACAGGAGTGCTGCACCAAAAGATGCATGAAAATCAGGATGTATGTCTTTGGTGCCACGCAGGTCAGTTAGCACCAGCTCATCCCTGAAACATTCTGGGATCAAATTAGAAGCTGGGGTGGTTTTTGTAATTCCATGAATGTACCCTGTTAGAATGGTCTAAAAGGAAGATGGGGAAGATGGGCTATAGAGCTTCCTTCATCAGGGTAGCAAGGACCACCTTAGTAGCATCTTGAGAGGCCCTCCATCCCTGGCAAAACCCTGCTTAAGCGACAGCCTTCCATCTGTTGGCTGACCCCCAATGCCTGAGCCAAAGCCTACCAACATCAGTATTTAATAAAAGTTGTGGTCGATTCTAAATCTCAGAAAATTGTCCTGTCTGGTTTGTTTACACCTGTTGTTTCGCCCTCGGGTGAGGGGAGGGCACTGCGGGTGGGTCTGCAATTGTGTGTCCCCCACCAAACTCTTTTGCTTGAAAAATTCATAATAATGACACACCTAAGCTATGTTGTAAATTACTTCAGTGTCTAGCTCAGCTGGTTAGAGCGTGGTACTGATAATGCCAAGGTTGCAGGTTCGATCCCTGACAGCTGCATATCCCTGCATTTCAGGGCGTTGGATTAGATGATTCTCAGGGTAATTTCCAACTCTACAGTTCTATCATTCTATGATTCTAAAGCATCATGTTTACGACTTTATTACATAGACTTCCAGAAACAGAGTTAGATCAACAGTAAAAAAAGAAAGAAAAAAACTATGACAAGGCCAGAATTACTAATTATGACTAATTTGTATTCAGAAGTGCTATCATCAGTCAAACGTCAGAGCCAAACTGACGTTAAGAAAGTGGAACTCTTCCTCTTCTTTTCCAGATAATTTCTTATAAAGTAATTGTGTTTGTGCTTAAGATTTCATTTCCATAGTGTAAGGATTCCACATCTCTTGTCTTCAGTCTGCCATTAACCCAAACAAGTCATATTTCAAAGGGCAGTGAAAGAAAGAGATTGGGATGCCCTGGTCAATTAAATTTCCACTGTCTTTATTTGTAATACACACGAGCCCATCAGCAATGAGAAGTATTTTATTTTGAAGCATTTGCCCAGTTTATTCTGTATATGAACCATAATAAATTAATCCTCTTTTTTTTTTACAAGAATTATAACTGACATGCTGTCACAGCTCTACATGTACAACCTTCGAAATATACATAATACTTTGAAAGCTGTCACATTTGGTACCATTGTAAACATCACCCTCGGTTACTAAACTGTTATCTTCGGATGCACTTTAGGGATAAACCATGGACCCTTTGTTCATTTGATCCAGGAAGAAATTATTCTCCCCTCAAAAAAAAAAAAAAAAAGTTATGAGGAAACTTTTCCTGTAAAATATGCCATGGATTCCCATTTTTCAGATGGTAACTGAGGCCAAGAGATGGTGATTTGGAAACAAGAACCAAAAAATGAATTGAAAGGAAACTGGAGCAGATACACAGTTAGGTGGATTTGTAGCTGGTTGACTGACCAAACTGACTGCTCACTGATGGCTCTTCTCTTTTTGGGATAAAAGTGACAAATGGGGTGACACAGGGTTCCATCCTTGTTGCTCAACATCTTTATAAATGACTTGGGGGAAGGAATTGAGGGGATGTTCGTCAGATTTGTAGATGACACCAAATTGAGTGGGGTAGGTGATACTGCAGAAGACAGAATCAGGATTTAAGATGACCTTAACAAACTGGAGAACTAGGCCCAAACAAACAAAATGAATTTCAACAGAGACAGATGTAAGGTTCTACACTTAAGCAGAAAGAACCAGCTGCACAAATATAAGATGAGAGACATATGACTTACAAGTAGCATATGCGAAAAAGATCTGGGGTCTTAGTAGACCACAAGGTTAACATGAGTCCATGTTGCATTGCAGCTCAGCAAAAAAAGCCAGTGTCCCAAAACTTTCTTTGGGAGGGGGTGTCTCTCCAATGAAGCTTTTAGGAACCCACAATATATCCTGGTGTGGGTTGTCGTACATCTTCAATCTGTGCAAACAGAAAAAAGAAAAGGAAAAGAACTGCTGGCGGGGGAGGGGAGGCTTCTGGGTTTTTGTACCAGCTGCAGTTTCCAAATAAACTTCAGTAACAGAGCTCATTGCTGTAGTGTAATCTTTAAGTGTCAAAAAACGATGGTTGACAGCTTTAAGGTCTGCATCCAAAAGAAATGGATGACAACATACCAGCTGTCCACAGATGAAAGGAGGCCAGCTTGTTTGCAGCTGATATCCATACTCCTCCCAAACAAAGTGGAGTAGCAAAGAAGTAAACCCATTCAAAGCTTCCTTGTTGCCTTTCCCAATTGACCAAAGAGCAAAATATCCGTCTCACGCAATCCTCAGCTCTGTGAAATGTGTTTGATCGAGTCCTCCAGAACAATGATCCTCAAAGCCTCAGACCAGTCTTCCTTGAGTGGTGCTGCCAGCACACTTTATCAACAAGCTTCTGTGGTGCAAGAAGAAACATATCAGGCCACTGATAGTGAAAGTGGCTTCCAAATATTTGCCTTGCACTTTAAAAAGTCTGCAGTCTTGACATTAGTTTAGTATAGCATCCTGCCTTTGCCCAAGATAAGCCCACAACTGCCAGAAACATGGGGGTGCATGAAACCCTGAACACAAAGGAATGTTATCTGTTGTGTTTTGTTGGTGGTGCTGGCAGCAGTTCTAACCTGTTTCCTCCTCTTGGGGACCTCTCAAACCTGCCTTTCCTCTTAAAAACGCAAAGACAAACAATGCGAAGGCAAAATACTATAAGGGAATGGGCATACAACTCCGGCTAATGCCACCTTCATGATGTGCACTAACCCAAAGGCAGCTGCACTCTTTTAAAATAAATGTTATAGAATTTCCCTAATGGAAATGCAACACAAATATCAGATATTAGATCAGTTATGGCTGCAATCTTATTGCAATGTGATGGGGAGATTCAAGCATTTGTTCCACCAGTTCTAAATTCTTGCTGGTTCCTTCTAACCAAGATGCGGGAGTACTTTTTCTTTCTCTTTTCTCTCCTTCCTTTTTCCAGTTACCTCCCCTTCCACTGACCCAATCGGAGGACAATTAACTATGCCTGGAGCAGTTTTGGCCCCAATCTGTGAGTGTATTAGGGGAGCGAAGAGGGGTTTGCATCCTGCTGATCCAAGGACACTCCCATCTGATCCTTGACACAGCAAAGGGAAGACGGTTGGCTGTCCATCTTGGCTGCCTTCAGGCATGGAGGTCATTGCTCTACATGTACTGCATACGATGCTAGCCAGCACTTCTGTGCCGATGTCTTGCCTCCCTTTTACAGTGTAGTACCTATTGCATTATGGAACTGTGGTCTTCTGATTGGCCGCCGTGTTGTGATGAATTTCATTCATACCAGTGGCTATGGTGAGACACAACAATGAATGGATATCATTGGACTTGTTGCCACGCATGTGTGCTTCTGTTCCCCCATGATTCACTGTGTGGCATGCCAGGATACTGCACATACTTTCGTTATGTGAGCAAAATCCCAGTGATACTACAGGGAAATTCTAGGAAGATGGAATGAAGTGCTGCCTGAATGCAGCCCTGGTCTGACACAGCTTTCCACCAGCATCCCAGGAGATCTAGGGGGGCTCAATTGAAGCTCCATGCTTTTCTCTACAGGTGAAGCAGGGCCTGCACCACTCCCGACAGCCCTCCAGGCAGCCTTTGGCCAGCTATTGGATTGCTCAGCCCGCCAATGACAGTCTTAACATATCCCTATTTAATTGCAGTTAATTCACTAGCTTTAATAAGCATCATGCTCTGTACTACCATTCTTCATGTAAATGCCTAGATTAGGCACCGTTTTATTCTACATTCAAATTTGCTGTAATCATCCATAGTCCGTTTCCTTGCATCATAAATATTTAGCTTGGTTGTTTTTTTTAGCTTGTGGGATTAAAGACAACATCCTTTTTCCTTGCTGGTGGGGGGGAAGCCCTCTCCACTTTGCTTCTACTGGAAGAATGCAAGGTCCCCTGGCATTTCTCTATCTCCCAGAACATGTTAATGTTGCTTGCATTACTGCGGGATTACTACCCTGGAGTATACACTTGGTATTATAATGCATAATGTTGCTTTAAAAGATTAACCACTCCCAGAGCTGTGTCTAAAAACTGGGGGGGGGGGGTTAGAATTACAAGAACAGAGCGTAAAAGGATTGGCTGGGTTGACAAGGGTAAGAGCTGTTAATATCTAGCTCGAATAAAAGCATAAGACCAAAAGGCTCTAACAATGACACCAACCAGTAATTCAGGGTGGAGACAAGATGTGTCACTTTTATATATGGAAGTGATGACAAATATACAGTATACCTCTGAAATTTCAGCTTGATTGAATGGTGGTCATCAGTTTAAAACAATTGACCATGAGTAAATCGGAACTAATTACTTCCACTTTCATGGTTTTCCAGGGGAAAGAGCAGGCTGGTGAAAAAAATAAAAATAGTTAGTTCAGCCTGTCAAGACTCATTCTTTTTAGAGCTGCAGCCTTCCCCTGATGCCATCTAATGGTTTCTTGAAATACCAAAATGTTTTTGCATTAACAACATTACCTATTGTGCTTCTGCTAAATGCATTTTGATGTCAGACATATGCCTGGCGTGCACACTCTGTATCCCTCTCTCTCAATATATATATATATATATATATATATATATATATATATATATATATTCTCCACCCGATTTTTCACTGTATGTTACTGCTAAAGGTATAAAAATGGATCCCCACAGACAAAAAAATAAAGTCCGCTGTATGATTGCATGCACCCTTGGTTTACCATATTATAAGAGCCTAGAAAGAGCTTTACTCCTAAATAACAACATTCAGGACATTTCTTTTGAAATAGAGGACAACCCATTTATGTGAAACCATGGAGAGTTTGATCCATCAGCATAGCCTGTTGCCTAAACTAAGCATAGCCTGTTGCCCAGCTAAGAACCCAGTGTAGTCAGTATTCTCTTGGGGAGATTCACATACTCCATTGTTTCCCAACAAGCACTGGCATGCAGTTCCAGTGTGAGGGTAATAGATAAATATAGTCAAATATAGGTTGGCAGGAGCTGGGACAGAGCAACAGGAGCTCACCCCATCGCTGGGATTTGAACCGCCGACCTTCCAATCAGCAAGCCCAAGAGGCTCAGTGGTTTAGACCACAGCACCACCTGCGTCCCTAAACACGCTTTTATAGACACGTGGCCTGCATTTAAAAGAATGGCCACTCCTAGAGATGTGTCTCAAAACTAGGCAAGAGAAAACTGTAACAAGAACAATCACCTGTGTTGTGGGCGTAGGTGCAGGTGGTTAGTTTTAACATATGAAGGTGGATGAAACTTATTGTTTTCCATGAACCCGAAGTATATTGTTAAAATGGTCTTACAACATCACAAAGCAATACCAAACAGCATGAATAATGCTTTAATCACCTTTGTCCTTCAGGCATGTACAAGATGCCCACAGGATTTACAAAAACATCACGTGAGTATTTTTGGGTTATCATTTATATTTGTTAGTCTGAGTTTGCTAGAAG